AACAGTGAATGCAGATTCTGTGGGGAAAATGGGGAGACAACCATTCGTGTGATAAACTATGGCACGACTGATATCGGAGATGGAGAACTAACCCACTCTCTAAAACCGCTCAGATACTGGCTTGCCCTGATACTGTATAGATTTCATTAGTGTCTTATATACAATTTTTTTTTCAATAGCAACTGTTGAAATTGCCTTATATCTATCAAAAATAGTAGATAAAATAGTATTTTAACCGCAAGGGTGGGTTAAATGATACTTTAAACAGCGAGGATAGGTTAAAAACTTTATTTCTTCTGGCACGTTTTTAATTGCTTCCATTTTTGAAATTTTTTGTATTCCTTTTCATAAGTTATTCGGGATTTAAAAAGATGTAATTTGGATATGGTGTTTGTCGCCGTAGCCTGAATATTTGTTGGTAATTTACTTATTTCGTTTTGGGCCAGTTCTGGCTCCAATTCAATCAGCAATCGACACGAAAGAGAATTAAAAAATATTGACTCAAAACTGACAACTAAAGAGACAGCTTTATTTATTTGTCAAATTACATAGAAACCAACGCCAACTCAGCACAATATTTTTTCTACTCGTAATAAATTCCTTGAAATATTGTTTTATACACATAAAATACCATTTTATAGTCTTGTTTAAAAAATAACTAAAAATAAACTATATTATTAATATTTGTGATTTTTTCCTGTTAATGCACACCAAACGATACCAAACTCTATGGGAAAATCTTATTAAGATATTCTAAGGAAAATACCATTGAAAAGAAGCTTTGTTACCCGATCGCTGGTTTGCGGTTAAATGTTCACACTTCACTGACTCAGAATTGATGCACTTGACTTGAATTCATTGTCAAGATGTCCGATGAGGATCATTGATCAACGATCAAAGCGCGGACGGAAAAAAATATTTAAAAAAAATAGAATTATGGTAATGATTGGGTAATTTCCGTCAATACTACCGTTAATTTTGCAACAGAAGTGCATATTTTTTTATTCTTTACAAGGAAATATAGAGAAAAAATTGTGAAAATAAGAATTTCTATTCTTAAATCAGGAAAAACTTTGCTATAAATATCTGAATCTTAAATCATACGGGGTGTTCAAAATTCTACGTCAAACTTTCTAAAATATAAAATAATTTTTCTTGGATTTTTTATATGGAACCCCCATGGTATATTATCATTTTGCTAGATGAAGAATTAAAAAATGAATTTTTTATTCTAGGAGCTACAAAATGAAAAATATAGTTCGTTAATATTATATTTTAATCAATCCAGATGCACAGCAAGCAATGGCAATTAACTCCTAAACGAAATACTTGTATGCTTTCAACTATACCTATAATATGTTTTAAATGGATGGCAATTTACTTTTGAACGGCAAAATTGAAAGAATACCACTGCAATTTTCGTTTTTTTTTTTCGAAAACGATTCGAATGTACCGTAAGCCTAATAACATAACCGTTGTAATAATCGCTTAGTAATTAAAATGTGTGGAATATTTCACTTAGTAGACATTTAAACATGTATTGCAAATTAGAAACATCTGCAAAATACATAACAAACTGTTTATTTTACTGATATTTGTTATGCCGGATTCAGACCAAGCCGACAAAAAGTGAACACGATTTTGCGACAAAAACAAGACAAACTTGCGACAAAAAATGGGGAATTCTGACAAGGCAAACTTGAGACAAATTGTCCACACCGCAAGGACAAAAGTACAGTGTGTCCCATTTTGGTTGAAATCATAGGGTATCTCCGTTATTAGTGAAGATAGAAGGGTGCGGTTTGCACAAACCTGTCCCACTTTTTCGTCAAACGGAAGATGCTGCATACAACATTTTCATAGCCCTCTTCATTTCTGAGCTACAGGGTCTTTTCAAAAATTTTGCAATTTGGGACACCCCCTGTATCTCTGTTATTGTTAAAGGTATCGAGAAGGCGAAAACTGCTTATTGTAGAACTTTTTACGTAGAATACAGTGGCGTAGTCTGTTTTTCTACCAAAAAAATATTTTTGACAATATGAACTAAAGTTATGTTTTTTCAAAAGGAACACCCTGTATATTTATAAATCATATGATCTGTCTTGCTACGAGCTTCTCAAAAATATATATCACTCTATATTTATTTTCACTATTTACTGCAATATTTAAAATATATAATTTTCTTATTAGTAGGCCGTGATAAATAACAAAAAATCAAAATGGTATTTACTAAAATAGTCATACACATATTAAAATTTATTTGGGATTGATATATTTTACTTTTGAAATAACTGTTACCACTGAAACTGTGAATATATTTTTCTTTTTTTTATAACGGGATGGGTTTGCAAATATCTAAATCTTGAATTATTAAAGCATTTTTCAGGTGTTCGACATTGTTGTAGTGCCCACGATATATTTCGTATTTCAAAAATCCCCAAAATCAGAAATCGAGAACGGCGAAATCCGGGAATCGAGGAGGCTATCAATATGCGTTCATTGGTTCCAATTCATTGATTTGAAAAATAATAATTTAACAGTATTCTAATATTTCCATAGTTATGAGGGGGAATGTTCCCCATCTTGCTGAAAGTATATTTCACGTAAATTAGCTAAAGGAATATCTAAAATTTCCGATACGATAGATTATTCTTACGTATACACGTATTCCAAGATTTACAAATAGCGGTAGAGAGTTAAGTTTCCCTAATATATAAAGAATTTATTAGCGGCTCCCAAAATAAAACAAGAGACAGATAGCAGTATACTTTTAATAATTCTTTAGTTTCTTTTATTATCAATCATGGCCTACTAATAAATATGATCTTTTAATAAAAACTTTTAAATATTGCAGTAAATAGTGAAAATAAATATAGAGTGATATATATTTTTGAGAAGCTTATGGCAAGACAGATCATATGATTTATAAATATACAGGGTGTTCCATTTAAAAAAACATAACTTTAGTTCATATTTTCAAAAATATTTTTTTGGTAGAAAAACAGACTACGCCACTGTATTCTACGTAAAAAGTTCTACAATAAACAGTTTTCACCTTCTCGATAGCTTTAACAATAACAGAGATACAGGAGGTGTCCCAAATTGCAAAATTTTCAAAAAGACCCTGTAGCTCGGAAACGAAGAAGGCTATGAAAATTTTGTTTACGGCATCTTCCGTTTGACAAAAAAGTGAGACAGGTTTGTGCAAACCGCACCCTTCTATCGTCACTAATAACGGAGATACCGTATGATTTCAACCAAAATGGGACACCCTGTACAACAAAGTCAAAAGCTTAGTTATTGCGAATGAGTTTTACTAACAATGTGTGATTTAGGGCATTCAATTTTCCGGGATCCCGGGATCTCGGACATTTTTTCAATCCCGAAATCCCGGGATTGTCTTTTATTTAATCCCGGGATTTTCGGGATTCATCAAAATAATATTCCCGGAGATGGAATTCTTCGAAAATGGAGCTGACCGAGGTTTCCACTTGCAGTTAGCCGATAACGTGCTGATGACTATTCCTCCAGCGAGTGTGGAATCAGAAAGGACCTTTTCTATTGCTGGAATGTTGTGCAGTAAAATCAGATCTAGTTTGAGTGATAAAACTCTTGATCAGCTTGTTTTTTGAATCTTGATCAGCTGTGTTATGTTGTGTTTGTTCGTTTGGTTATGTAAATTAAATAAAAAAATGTATATTTTAGTTCCTTTAATGCTTTTTTTTAAATAAACTTATATGTTATGTTGTTTTGTAATGGTGATGACGTTTAATTTATGTTAATGTTTATTTTGTTCAATAAAATTTTGTTAAGAATGAAAATATAATATAATTTCAACGTAATTATTTTTTTTTGTGAATCCTGGGACCAATCCCGGGATCCCGGGATCGAAAAATTGTAATCCCGAAATCCCGGGATTGAAAATTTCTTTCGGGATTGAACCCTAGTGTGATTTCACTGGTCTCCTACTGTTGGGAGCACACGCCAATCCACACTACGCCGACAAATTGTCGTAAAATATACGAACAAAACATAGACACTTTGATCTTTACCGACGCGAGACGGGACATTGAAAAGTCTCCGAATTTTGAAACAAAACAAAAATGAGACGAAAATGTCGCAGAAATATATTGGATTTGTCGCAATTTTGTCGTAAAACATGAATGTTTCTGTCTCGTCGTTGTTTTGTCTGCTTGGTCTGACCCCACATTAGAATTGTGCTTTAGTCGTTTGTCTAATTTCATAATAACTTCATAGCTTCCTTCTGTAGTTTGTTTATTTATATTCATTACAACTGGTCACTTCATAATTTCCGGATTGCCTAAAACATCCTGGTCATTACAAGTTGTTATGAGGCATTGACTTATAGGTCTATGATAATGCATTATTTATAATATTATTATATCCTTACTACGTATAGTACATAAGAGAACCCTGAAAAAATTAAACCTGAAGAAAAAAATAATCCTGCTACAATAAGAAGCTTTTTAATATCCTGAAGTATCTTATCTCTTTAGGTGACTTTGTATTGGGGTTATAGCTGAAAGAATGTGTTTTTCTCATTTTTTTTATTGGAAAAAGGACCTACATACCAAACATATTTACAAGAGAGTTTTAAACAGTTTCAAACATATGTTTAAATCTTACACAATTCAGTTTTCAGTTACTTCTTTCAGTTTTCTTACACAATTCAGTTTAAAACAAGTTTCAATCATCACAATCCTAATAAATATAGACAAAATGATTTGTTCAGTGTAGAATGAGGGAATAATAGAACACGATGGATATAATCCAAAACCTATTCATGCAGCAATAGAATAGAGTGAGGGGTTATGTTCAATGTTCTCCTATAAAGAGGGTAGTTTAAGCTCTATAGCCTTTTATGAAACGCTTGAAAATACAGAACATCAATCATACAGCACAGAACAGATGCAATACCGCAATTTGTTGAAGTTATCTGGAATGGAATAGCTAAATAAATTATTTTTCTCTTGTTACAGAGTATCGTTTGGTAGTTCCAAAGGTTCCATGGTTGAAACCCTTATTTTCGAAAGTCCTTTACAAGAGGAACCTGAACCGAGTCCAATTCCAGAGAATGGAGATGGTTCTACTAATGGCTGTGATAAAGAGTAAGTTAGAATATTTATTTTTTTTATTTCTTTTTCAATTTTTAATATATTTTTCTATATTTTTCCTTGTTTAAAATTGATTTGAATTAAAAAAACTAGTTTCTCTATTGAATGGAATGTTGAAATTGTTAACACTCTGTATATTCTAGGTGTTTTTCAAAAGTGGCACACCCATATAACTTTTTTTTATTATTACAGATAAAAAAAACGAGATTTGGTATGTTAGTGTATGACATAAATCAGGATTGACTGACGTATTCAATTAATTTTAGTCACTTCCTGTTTCACCGGAAATGACTACAACTTTCGATTTTTAAATGGTACCGCGGTATTTTTTTGTTTTATTTAATAGAAAATGACATTCTGAATCGAATGACATATCACAGCTTTTGAAACTTTTACCTAAATTTAAAATAGTATTTTAAATTTCATTCTAAAGTGTCTCTGGCGGTATAAAACACTGAAAATGAAAATTCTAGAAACAAATATTGTGGACGTATTTAATTAAAACTGATTTTATAAATACGTCCATTAAAATGCCGACGTATTTTTTAAGTAGATACGTCAGTACATTTTTAAATACGTCAAAATATTTTTTTTGTTATGATTTTGTAAAAGAAATTTGACAACGTTTTTCTTAAAAAAAGTAAAAAAAAACTGCCGTCGCTACGGCTGGCGCCATCTATGAACAAACTGCCTAACCAAGTTCCTGCTAATCGAATATTTCGAAGGTTACTACGCTGCCGCTTTATTCGAGCGTCACGTGGTGGCGCAGCTTGCAGTTACCTTGGCAACCTTGGCGTCAAATCGTCCTGCGAGGCGTGGTATGCCGCGACGTTGCACAGCAGGAATTTTTTTCATGAAATTTAGGGATTTTTATTTTTGAAACTAAAAGGCTTTGATAATGGATGGTTTATTTAATAGCAGACATATAATATGTTTAGAATTGTTATTTTTTTGAAAGTCATGTTCGTTTTGTTGGCGTTTTATAATTGTTTTTTTAAGGACTGTATTTATTTTATTTTTGTCAAGCAAATATAAATTTGAGATGTTTGAGTAAATTTTATATAATTTTCAATTAAGATATTATTTAACTTATGAGAGAAAAAAGGCGTCGCGGTGGCTTTTGAGATGACAACTTATGACAAATTTTATTGGGACCGATCTCTATAATATGTGATTTTTTTATATGGATGATCGATTTACCAAATGATGGTGAATGATTGTGCCTAATCGATTTTATAGTTGGTGCCATTTATTCCCTATATTTTTTTAGAAAAATGACCTTTTTTGGCATATTTCGTAGTTTTCTTATTGTAGAAGGTAAAATATGGTATGCTTATGTTTGTTTATTTGTATTTTTCTTGATTTTTACTCTAAAAATTTCACCAGGGCCGAAATAGGGGACATCGGGACAAAATCGAAATAAAAATGAAACTTCTACACCCTGTATCTCCGAAACTAAGCATTTTAGGACATACATTTTTACGAACTTTTTTACTTATTTTTATCTGCAGAATATGCTGCTGAAGTTTCCGGAATACAGTTCGGACCACCCTGTATAGTGTCTTTGTCGTATTTTTTTTTAATTTTTGCTCTGAAAATTTTATCAGGACCAAAATAAGGAGAATTTTTTTAATCTTTTTTTTATCTCTAAATACCATGAACGTTCATATTATGAACAATTAAAAAAAATCAACCAATACCTTCACTAAAAAACAAAATTCCGAAACTTTTAAAATCTAAGGATTTTTTCAACTTCGATCCGGCAACACCGCCCAATATATACCAAACATGGTTTACAGCGCCGAAAACTGGCATTATTGGCATCTTTTCTGCCAAGTTTTGCGTAGTGCCGGCCGCCTGACGTAGTGCTCAAGTGCTAGTGTTCTTACCGACGCCAGTTACACAGATTTTTCTTAACCGGAATCGCGAAAAATTACGCCAAATTGACATGTGGTGTTAACGAAGCAACAAAGGGCCATTAGAAGGGACTTGCAAGGGTGTAGGGTGTCAGTGGACCTCGACTGTAGGGCGCCAAACGAAGGGTGAGTTCTAAAGAGAGAAGAATTGATCAATATAACTTTTTTTTCGGTGGGTTAAACTGGTACACACGAAAAACGAGTTTAAATTTAATTAAAGATAACGCCAGATAAAAAAAAGAATTGTAATAACAGCATGAAAATAATAATTATCATTATTTTTTGACTAGTTGTTAAAAATTCGAGCTCTGTATGTATTACAATGACGTGAAAAAATAACATAATCATCTTAATCAGGATGTGAATGAAGCTCATAGCCACGTTAATTACAATGCTTTTTTAGTCAGAGTTTCGGTACTTGTAGAATATGTACTGAATTTAGGTGAAAGTACGTCATTTTATTGTTAGTTAATAATTAAAATATTCGAGAGCCTTGTAAGGATTTCAAATAATAATGTTTTATTGTGTTCCTTAATTTGGAATAAATCGAGGGTTTTTGGGTCTACTATGGCATTTTATTATTTTTAATTTTTTAATTTATGTCATATAAGATATAAGCCGAGAAAAATCAAAAACAAACATTACATAATAAATTTATGAGAGACTGAATAAGAAATTACGCAATTTATTTAAAAAAGTAATACTAATAAGGTAATATAAAAAGATAATATTAAATAAAATAAATGTATGAAGCATTAATTAAAGAGATAAAAAATAATAATATGTAGAATAAGGAAATATAGTCATTTTTGGCCTTGTCAGTAGGGCACTTGCTGTAAATGAAGTTTTACCCATCATTAAAAACTGTTCAAAAACAAGGGTTGAAAAATTCGAATTTCTACATACTTATGAATAAATTCAATGAATAATTGGCTCAACTTTCGTTTAGCTGAAATCTGTTAGATTGGTTAGGATTTGGGTTGCTTTGGTTAGCTTTTCTTTGTGGAGGGTGTTAAGCTGTGATTTTCATATTTTAATAATTAACTGTGATTTTGTAAAAATATTATTAGATTTATTATTAGATTGGTTAGCATTTTAGACACTTTTAAATGATTTTTTTTGGTTCAAAAGTGATAAAAAGATAATTTTTTATGTATTTATGCTTACAAAAATGGAAAATGAAAATCAAGCATTTCGCCAGGAAATTTTTTATTTTCCTGAGTCTGTAAACGCTTCTAAAAGGCAAACATATATTTATTTTTTATATTAACTGATTTCAGCTATTCTAAAGTCTATTAAATTTCCTCAGAAAATGGATACAGTTTATTTCCGCAGGAAAATTTTTATTTTCCTTAATTCGTGAATGCTTCTAAAAGGCAAAAAATATATTTATTTTTTATATAACTGATTTCAGCTATTCTAAAGTCTAATAAATTTCCTTAGAAAATGAAAACTGCTTATTTCCGCAGGAAAATTTTTGTGTTTATGTGTTCAGAAAAATATTAAAAATAAAACGCAACATGTATTTTTTTTTATAGCAGATTTCAGTTATTCTATAGTGCGAAATTTTTAAATTACGCATTTCCGCAGGAAAATTTATGTTTTCCGTGGTTCACAGTAGCTTTTTAAAGACAAAAGTTTTTTTTTGTAATAACTGATTTCAGCTAAACTTTTTTAATATTTATTAGCTAAATAAATTAGGTGTTCTATACATTTTTAGCTTTTTTTTTCAGTGTATATTATATTTTTTTCTTTGAAAAAACACATCTTTTTATCTGAAACATACCAAAACTATTCAAACATATTTGTCTTTAACCTTGGAATCAATTAAACCGAATCTCCAAAGAGCTACAATTAAATTTTTTAAAATTAGCCTAGACGTTATCATTTCTATTTTTGTCAGAATTACAATTTATCTGGAGGTTTCACCCACAATAATACTCCTTGTTATTCTCTCAATCTTTAATGGTGCTACGCCAAAATATCGTATCAACAGGCTAGATTGTCGATCTTTTGCCAACTGATGGTTTATAAATAGATTTCAATTTATTCGTGAACCTTTCTGGAGAAATTTGAATTTGAGAAAATATTTTTTTTCGAAAAGATAAAATTTTTAAAATTTTTTGAGGATGTACTTAAAGAATTAAAATAAGTTATTGTGTGTGTCTTATGTAATTATATTAGTGTCCTCAAAGTTGAATGACACCTGAAGTAGAAATTCTATTAATTTTAATTGTATTTTTTTAAACATTGTGAATGATCATAATATTTTAAGTATAAAGTATGGTTGAAACCACTAATTTACTCCACCAGGTTCTCAATGAGGTGTAAGAATCTATTACAATTTACTATAATACAAATTTCCAAACACACGTTCTTTGATTAAGGCTCGATTAAGGTTTGCAGAGCTTCAGCATTTGCCATAAAATAGCGAACAATTTGTTACAAAACCATATAAATTATATATCACTATAATCAGAAAACTTCAATCTATTTCCGTATTGTAATGGAATTTTAAGTTATGTCTTTATTTTTGAGAAAATTTAGTCCAAATATAAGGAATATTTTGTTGATGTTTCACCATCAAAATCTTAAAAATAAAAAAGTTGTCTAAAAATGTGCTACAATACGGATATAGTATAATCCTTTATCTTTAATTTCCTTCTTCATTTGTGTTAAAATATCTATAGCTAGTTTTACATAAAACGTTAAATGACAAACGCTTATTTTGCTACTTTTCCGGACTGGTGAAATGGACTCTCTAAACTCTAAGGTATATTTTTTATTTGATTTGTTCTACCGCCATTCAGAAATAATGTATTTAGTAAATTTTCAAAAGTTTAAAAAATTATTTTAAAATAAAGTAAATCGGAAAATACAATAAACTTGTTCTTACAGACAGGTTTAATATCTTTTATCTTATATATGCAGATACTGGTGCACTAATGCAAGGTTTTTTTTAATTCAAAGTTGATTGCCTCGACCTACCAATCTTTTCAAACGAATATACGTTCAATATGTCAAGGAAATTACTATAAAGTTAAATATTTTAAATGTTTATTTACATTTAAAGCCTAA